TTATTGACACAAGAACTTCTAATCATATGATAGGAAATTTAAAACTCTAGGAGTTAAGAACAATACAATATACTATATGGGAATGTCAAATGGACAACAACTTGTAGCAATTAAAGAAGGATGTGTATCCCTTGAAGGAGGGATAAAACTAACAATGTGTTATATGTACTTAGATTGCAATATAGTCTAATATTTGTGTCTTAATTGTTGAATGAATCAAATTATATGACTCAATTTGCAAAATCTACATGTGTTACATATGATCTCACTTCGAAGTAGTTGATTGGACTGAGCTAACAAAAGGATGAACTTTACTATCTCAAAGAAGTTCAACATGAGCATGCATTCAAACTTGATGTAGGGTCTCTAACTGACCTTTGGCACAAGCATATGGACATCCCTATTTGAAGATTACATAACTAGTCTCAAATGTTGACATAAAAAATAGTGAGTTTGCAAATAAAGCTTGTGATATATTTCAAACAGTAAAATAAAGTAGAAATAATTTTCCTTTGAGTAAGAATAAAACTACTAGCAATTTTGAATTAATTTATTGTAATTTTTGGAATTCTTATCAAATTCTATCATCTTGTGATGTGTCTTATTTTTTAAATATAGTTGATGATTATTTACATGCTGTTTGGATTTATCTTTTAATTGATAAAAAAATAAGTTTCTAGAGTCCTATTAAATTTTGTTATTTTGGTAGCAAAACAGTATGGAAAACAAGTTAAGACCGTTCGAAGTGATAATGAAACTGAGTTTACATGTTCGTGAACAAAGTTTCTTGAACTTGACAATATTTTTCAAACATCTTGTACATGAACACCTCAATAAAATGGTTAAGTTGAAAGAAAATACAAACATATCTTTAATGTAACACAAACCTTAAAATTTTAGGGTAATCTTTCTATCTCTTTTTGGAGCGAATGTGTCTTAATAGTTGGATATCTAATAAATATAACGTAAACACCTTTGTTAGATGAAAAAACTCATGAAATATTATATGGACAACCAACCTTCAAATAATTACTTAAGGGTGTTTGATTCTTTATTTTATGCTCATAATCAAGGTAGGAAATGAGATAAGTTTGTTAGTCGTAATAAGAAGTGTTTGTTTGTGGGTTATCCTTATAGGAAGAAAGGATGAAAGTTGTATGAACTGGAGACTAAATTGTGTCAAGGGATGTCAAATTTTTTAAAATAAATTTCCTTTTGCACAACCTACTAGTAATGAGTATGTTCTCACTACAATGATGTTTAATCTTAATATTAAGATGGTAGTATTAAAAATTGTGTTATTGATTCTAGATTTACAAGAGGTGAGATAGTACATGAGACAAGGAGGGAAGAAAATTTAGAAAATAAACTTCCTTCTCAAAATTAGTTAGAAAGTGATGAAAATCTTGGATGGGAAAAACGACTCAAAATTCTTTCTATGAGACTTTGAGAGTATGTGACTAATACAATTGAAGTAAAAAACCCATTCAAATGTTCTTCCACTCCACAACATAATTCATATGAGCCCTATCCCATAACATATTATGTGAGTTGTGATAAATTTTTTTGAAGCATCACATGTTCCTTGTAACAATAACTACCGAGAGAGAATCAACAAACTATTTAGAGACAGTAAAAGATGGTAGATGACGCTCAATAATGAAACAAGAAATACAAGAACTTGAAGACAATAGAGCCTGGACAATGTGTCATTTACCAAAACATAAGAAGACATTAGGATGCAAATAGGAATATAAGATTAAGTACAATTCAGATGGAACTATAGAACATTTTAAATCTCAATTAGTCATACTTGAAAATCATCAAGTCGAAGGAGTTGATTATATAGAGACATTTGCTCCAGTAGCAAAAATGGTTACGGTTTGAATTTTATTACCAGTTGCTGCAATAAAAAATTGGGAACTTCATCAAATGGATGTTCACAACTTCTTGCATGGTGATCTTGAAGAATAAGTGTATATGAAGTTGCTCCTAGGCTTTCGCTCTCATAATTCAAACAAAGTGTGTCGTCTTCTGGTTTAAAATAAGTCCCTAGATGTTGGTTTTCCAAACTGGGAAATACCATGAAACAATATGAATTTAAACAATCTCTTTTTGATTATTCATTATTTACTCTACAAAATGGTGTAGTGCAACTTAACATCTTAGTTTATGTTGATGATCTAATCATATGTGAAAATAACCATGAAACTATCCAATGTTTCAAAGATTACTTGAACAAATATTTTCAAATGAAAGATTTAGAAAAATTGAAATATTTCTTAGGGGTAGAAGTGGCTAAATCACCTCGAGGCATTTTTTTTATGTCAAAAATAATATGCTTTAGACATAATTTGTGAAACTAGACCACTTGGAGCAAAGTCTATGATTACACCAATGGGACAAAATCATCATCTTTGGTCTTGCTAAAGGAATTTTTTTTTAATCCCGATTAATATATACTTTTGGTTGGTCGGCTGATTTATTTATATTTTACTTGACCTTAATTGACATATTGTGTGCATATTCTTTCACAATTTATGTGTAGCCATGCATAGAGCATTTGGAGACTAATCTTCGTGTTGTTTGATATCTGAAAAATCCTAGACAAGGGATTATCTTAGATAGTTCTAGCAATATAAAACTTTATGGATGATGTGATGCAGATTGGGCAGCATGACCTCTTACTGGTAGATCTCTTACATGTTGAATTATTTGTTTGGGAAATTCTCCTATTTCTTGGAAGACAAAGAAATAATATACAGTATCACGTTCCTAAGTTGAAGCAGAATATCGTTCAATGACTACTATCACATGTGAACTAAAGTGGGTAAAAAACATTCTCTTTGACCTTAGTATTTCTCATTTCACGCCTATGCGTCTCTATTGTGATAGTCAAACTACTTTACACTTGGCTAAGAACCCCATATTTCATGAACACACAAAACATATTGAAGTAGATTGTCATTTTGTTCATAATGAGATACTTCATGGACACTTATAATCATTTTATGTTCCCATTCGTGCACAACTTGCAAATATATTTACCAAAGCTTTAGGTGTGCACAATTTTCTTCCCTGCTTGACAAGTTAGGCATTTGAAATCTTCATGCACCAACTTGAGGGAAAGTATTAAGAATATTGCAAACAAAATTCAAATTGTGAAGATTATGATCTCTATGAATTATTTGTGATTAATTGCATATATTGAAAACAAAACTATGACCAATAGAATATGTAGATTTGTGCCAATTATGATCTTTATGAATTAATTATGATTAACTCACAATTATTCAAGATGATTTCTTGTAATCAATTAGGAGGATTTGAGGTTAGTAGTTTTATACAAAATTTTGTATATTTAAAACATTTTAGCCTAAAAGAAATAACAAAAATATTTTCTTTCAAAGTTATTAAATGAAATCTTACATCGATTAGTGACATGATGTTGAGACATGAATGAACCGATTTTGTAAGATTGAGTTAGGTATTTTATAATTTTTAATTATATATATATATTTATCTATTTATATAGAGGTAACAATTATTGAGTGCTATAAGGCTGACCAAATATTGAACTAGACCTATTAATTATTTTTTATTTTTACTTTAAATTAAAGAGCTATCGTGTAGATGATTTTGTTGACATATATGATTTTTTATTTTATTTTTTAAATAGCTAAGGTTTATTATTAATGGTAAAAATCCAAGTTCTGTGACTTAATCCTTGAGCTTATGTCAAGTCTTGGTCTAATGGTCTCAACTAAAGGGTGTCAAAGGTAAGTAACATGATTGGAAATGAGTATAAGATATCCAACAAAAATCACACAGGTATCAAATGTCTCAATGGCACACAAAGCTTCTCACTTTTTACCTTGCTAGTGATGGGTGGAGCAAGTTGAGAAATATCTAAGTTGTAGTTGCATGTCAATAACAGGAGAAGCTTCACAATCAAAATCTATTGCAAATGGCAATTAACAATTCTTGTCTTTATATCACATACGTGCGTTTGGATACATAAAACAAAGATAAAGCAAGAGCTTGTAATATCACTTTCACTAGTTATGTATGCTAAAATAACAGATATATCTGATATTACAAGGTGAAACCTTAACATTTCTCTTGCCTACGTTTCCTATCTTCCATCTATTGTTGTGTTGGAAAGTTCATTATCCGAGCACAATTTGTGATTTTCCGAAGAAGAATTGGCTTCAGCTGCAACATCTTTTTCAGTATAAAATCCAGGAACCTTTGGCTTTGGTAATACTTTATCACCATTCAACATTAATACCACTGATGACATGTCTGGTCTATCTTTTGGTCTTTGCTGGACACATAATAGGCCAACCTGTATGCATCGTATGACTTCAGAGGTTGTGCATTGTTCTTCTAATACTTCATCCAACAGTTCCAGTGCCCTTCCTTCAGACCACAGCCTCCATGCCTAAGATGGTGAGAATTAAATTAGTAGGCTGGAAAAAATTCATTTTGTACTCTTAGCATCATAGTATATCAGTAAACTTACATATCCAAGAAGATGATTGTAGTGTTCTGGGTCTAAAAATTCCCTGTTTTTCTTCCCACTTACAATCTCTAGTACTATCACACCATAGCTGAAGACATCCGATTTTACAGAGAAATGCCCACGCACAGCATATTCAGGAGGCATGTATCCACTAAAAATCAAATTTTCCATGTCAAATAAATCAGAAGTTCACTGCACAAAGCCAACGAATCACATCATAATCAGATAAAAGCTATCTTACTATGTTCCAGCCACCCTATGTGTCTTTGCCTCAACTTGATCTCCCAAAAATGATCGAGCCAAGCCAAAGTCTGATATTTTGGGATCCAAATTTGCGTCTAGTAAAATATTGCTAGTTTTTAGATCTCTGTGAATAATCCTCAGCCTAGAGTCTTGATGAAGATATAAAAGTCCTCTAGCAATGCCACTAATAATGTTGAAACACTTATTCCAATCTAGGAGATTCCTTTTGATTTTATCTAGTCAAATACAAACACGTAATGAGCATAGCAGTTGCAGTTTCCATAATTTCATTAATCATAAACAAAAAAACATAAGAAGATTGCCATGTGAAATTAGAATAGATCGTAAGGGCTCGACCAAAAACAAAGTAGTCCAAACTTTGATTGGGCATGTATTCATAAATCAACATTTTCTCTTCTCCTTCAATGCAGCAACCAAGAAGTTTTACAAGATTGCGGTGCTGAAGTTTGGCAATCAATGCGACTTCATTTTTAAACTCATCCAACCCTTGTCCAGACATCTTTGAAAGCCTTTTCACAGCTAGCTCTCTCCCATCTACCAGTGTGGCCTGAAAAATAATATTTTTCTTTAGTTAGAAAGTTTTTAAGTAAAATGATGTTCTGGATATCAGTTATCTTTTACCACCTTGTATACTGGTCCAAAGCCTCCTTCTCCAAGTTTGTTTTCGGTCGAAAAGTTTCTAGTGGCATTAGATAAGACTGAGAAATCAAAAGTTGGTAAATCCATGACTTCCATTGTTTGTATATTTTTGTAATGCTTGATATAAAATTTTCTTGCAGCCCCTGATTTGTCAGAAAATAACAGTATTTAAACTTGGACACATTAATACGGATATGCACATTTTTTTGCCTAATTGCCAGTATTGGATCCTAATTATATCTGTTTACCTACCTGGATTTTTAATTATCAAGATGCATACACATGTGATGATGATTCCAAAAATAGTTGCACCAACAGTGATTCCTACTATTTTTTTCTTGACATTTCTACGGCGAGCTTCAGCTGCAACATAATCTAAAGATGCAGAGCATGATTAGTAGGGTAACATTCTACAACAGTTCTACTGTGAGAATATGAAAGGTATTGCATCTAATTTTGAAAATAAATGACTTGCATCACTAATAACTTTTAAGGAATTTGTTAGGAAAATCTCAAAACCCATAGCTCCATGTTTCACTTGATGTCTGCACTTGAGCATGGAATTTCAAGCTGCAATACCAATATGTTTGCTCAATCTCCTTTGAAGTTCCCATGGACTGTCCCTGCTCTCCTCACTTCTTTTAAAATAATGCTATAGTGAAAAAGAAAAACAAGGAAAAGGAAGAGATGAAACAAAAGGCTAAAATAAAATAAATCAATTAAATAAAATTGAGTACCTAGCTCTGAAGTAGGGACTTTGATATAAAGGTCTTGTCCCCATTGAGAGAATTTTCTCAAGTCAACCAGACTATTAAACCAAAGTAGACAGCCACTTCCTCCACCACGAACATCTAAATTAGCACAAGCTACACAAGAACAGTTTTCCAGACACTGCTTCTGACAATCCTCAAGGTTCATTGTCCTACTAAACCATGATGAAGATGTGTCTGGCAATTTCATGTCTGTGTACTTTAAGAAGCCATATGTAGAACTGTTTTTGCAATTAGATTTATTTCTTGGAGCACAACCATCAGACCAAACTGATAAATTCCAGTATTGAGGATTCTTGGGAACATATCCTTTCACGCATTCGCAGCTTGGATGGTTACCATCATAACTGCATACAGCATTAGCCCCACAAAAGGCATAATTCTCACATTGATCTTCCTCCCCAGATGAGATCACTTGCCTGGTTCTTGTTTGAGTTGTCCAAAAAATTCTCTGTGAAGCACCTAACGGGTTCATTGTAAGTACGGTGTAGACCGAACTATCAACATGCCCGAACTCATAATACACCTCTTTTTCATTGAACACAAATGTTTGTGAACTTCCAGGACTTGAAACAGGATATCCAGCCCAAGACTGGCCATTCCATGACCCTACTCTTATCTTTATCTCAAATCCATCAAGTATAACTGCTTGAGGAAATCCTCTAAGGTCGATTTTCATACTATATTCTCCCTCAGAAGGATCATCAACACTTTTCCAAGATAGTAAAAACCTTTCTAGACCAGTTTCTAAGTTCCATCCAAGTTTCATTCCTGCCAGAAATGTATCACATAGATGGTCAAAACTCTGCCATAAAAAGTTCTCGTTGTTGGTTTCCCATCCACTTTTCACTATCAGATTCCCCGAATCTAAAAGCTGTGCAATTGGGTTACTCACTGCAGTGTCTGATATATTGGACGACCAAATGGTTTTATTTGCGCCATTGAGAAGCACAAGAATCCCTTTTTCATTGAGTTTGAGAACTCCCGAGTTACTCTCAAGAGGTGTGTTTCGGTTAGCCACCCAAACCACTGAGAAAGGGGATACGTTTCTGTACCATAGACCCAAGTATCGTCTTGTTGAGTTTCTGGGACTGAAGAAACCCATTTCAACAATTCCACCAGCTGAAACCAAAGTCTCACTGGCTTGGATAGATTGATTCACTGCTAAATGGTCTCGCAAAGAGAAAGTTCTTGTCATGTAGGAGAATAACAAGAACCAAATAAAGAACATTGTGATTTTATTGAAGCAATGACTTCTAAGTTATGCTAGCATGCATGACTTCTAAATTACACGAGTCTCTCATAGATTATTGTAAACGAAAAAGACAAAACTATACTAAATGAAATGAAAACTTTGTCCTGCGTTTATTTTTTAAGACGATGGTCTTATAAAGACCTTAGTACATTGTTCCTACAAATCCAGACCCGACACCTGGCTATAATTTGTAACACATTAGATTCTTAGGGTAGGCAAAGAGAACTTAAAGTCAAAGTTAGATATAATCTTTTAATCATATAGTCCTAGTGCCGTTTGTAATGGGTCTGTTATGCTGATGCTGGCTAGGGCTGCTATCAATTATGCAAAGGTAGGGGATGAACATTACATATATATACATAAGAAGTTTCTGAGTAGTTATAAACTTTCTCTGAGTTTAACTTCTACGAATAAAAAAAGATCATAGATGAAAATAGCATAGGAGCATAAGAAGAAGCAGTAATCAATAACATGACAACTTTGGTTTCAAATTATAAGGTTGTGATGGTTTGGTCCGATCATTGACGTAAGCACATGAGTAAAGTCTAACTCCAAAAACTTGTGGACGGGAGAATCTATTGACTTAAACTTCACATTCTACTGTGAAATTGCTAACATGCCACACTTGTGGTTAATTTAAATCCACCATTAACACCCATTGTTTTCAGAAGAAGACCATGCCAGTAAATGACATAGTCAATTGTAGAGTAATAAATTAGTAAAAAAGCACAATACAAGTTGGTCAAAAAGGTTGCCACGAAATGTACACTTCCAATTCCAAGTCTTCCATTGCATGAAATTTACGCGGCACTTGACAATGAAGTTTGTATTGAAAAAAAAAAGAACCTTTCATTTTTTTTTAGAGAGACTATAATTTGGCACTGTCGGAGGTAAAATTTATATTATACTAAAACTTGATATTAGAAGTTTGTATTGAACTTAAAGTTATATTAAAATTTTCATAAAATTTGTATCTCTCAAACATTTCCTAAAATTTCCTCTTTTTATTTAATTGATATGTCTAATTTCTTGGCTTTGTGGACCTTGATCATTGACATGGCGGCTACGCAAACAACTAGGTTGCTCCCATGTGCACCTATAAAATGAGGTGGATTGGGGGTTGGTTTGAAAAATATGGTGATGGAAAAACACACCAACGTTCTTTTTCTTCCTTCAATTCATTTATGTATTAATATTAATCGTATTCACACCTACTCAAATATCTATCAACTGTCATAATCTACTGGAATGTTTTAAATGTCTCCAAGATTGTCTTCAATAGAAACCAAAGAAAAAGAAAAAAAAAACATATTTTCTAATTACTTTCATCCCTCTTTTAATTTGGTGAATATATTTAGGATTTCATTGGACATCTTCTTAATAAGTAATTTTATGTGTGTACAGTTTTAATGACTCATTTTTATTCAACTTTTTAAAAAAACTATACTTATTTCTTTCGAGATTATGCTAAAATAATATTTAATTTTAAAATAAAATCTCACCCATTATTTTTTTTTAATAAAATGATTCTCACATCACATTTCTTATATTATTAAAAAGTGATAATTACATCTTTGTTTTATTTAAAAATAGCATATTAACTAAATCTTAAATAAAAAATTATAAAAATTAAAATCTTAAAACACAAAAGTTAAAAATGGTTTTAGAGGTAAAATATAGAATAATTCAAGTATAGAAAAATTGCACTAGCCTTTATTTAAAAGTCATAATGTTGATTCATATATAGTTGAATTTTTGCGTGTTATAGTCACATTCTCTTGAATATGACTAGTTTTTATCCAATAAGATGAGAAAATATATTGTGGAACAAAATAACATTACACTCTAATTTTAAAATAAACTTTTATTATTATTATTATTATTATTATTATTATTGTTATTATTATACTATTAATAAAATAATATTTATATTTTTAATTATATTTATGTTTATATTATTACTAAAAGCATACATCGACTTAACAATAAGGTAATCAAATTAATGATATATTTTATAGTTATTTATTTATTTTTATATGTTAAATGCTTTCTCAAAATATAGTTTTTATAAGACAAATTATAATTTAGTAAACAATTTTTTTTTATATTTTAAAAACACTTCAACTATTTTTTTTATAAAAAATTCTTTAACTTTTTTATTTTTGAAGACTTATTTTTTAGTTTTTTATTTAAGTTTAAGTCAATATGATATTTTTAATAGAAGATGAAGTGATGTGTTTTTTTTTAATTAAAAATATGAAGGTGATGAGTGTCATTTATTAAAAATATATGAAAGATAGTGTCTATTTAAAAATTAGAAGAGATGTGAGAATCAATTTATTAAAAGGATATATAAATATCACTTAATAATATTTCAAATTTTCTTTAAAACTAGATAATTTTTACCATCTAATTTTTACAGATGGAAAGGACTTGAATAATTATATAATGTGTATATGTGACATAAGTTATTTAATTCTTAAAAGTTATATAATAATAATAATTAATTTAATATTAATTAAATAGTAAAGCATATTATAAAAAAAAACATTAAAAAATAATACTCGAAGTAACGTTGAAGTGTTCAATTGAGACTACTTCACCAGTAAAAAAGATGTTGACATAATCTGCAAAGGCACAAACTTGATAACCCAAAAGAAGTCAAGCATTTATTTTGCTGATATTCATAAATCAAAATTTCACAGGGTTATTTATGTGCAATCACATTCAAAATGTAGTGTTTGACTTAACAGTTTGATTTTCAATTTTCAAATAAGATGATCACAGTTTGAAATTAGTACCCTGTCCCAACTGATTACTGAGTTGGAAAACCATCGTTTCAAAGGGATACTCGTTATGATTTGACCTAGTAAGTGACTTTGGGGAATAATTGTATCGATACAAAGTCTTCTGGAGGATAAAAAAAAATAAAAACTAATTCCAAGGTAAGTGACTTTAGGTTATTTACCAAGTCAAAGATTGACTATGGAGAATGTGAAGAAGAATTCAACTGTGGTGACATGAACCTAGCAAGGGAAGAAAGTGCAAACTCAAAGCTTCTATGGTGAATAACGTATATCTCCGTTTCTCAACATATTCCTTTTTTATCTTTGTCTTCATTATTGTTGCTGGTGTTAGAAGTTGATTCTTCTGTGCTGCTGAAATTCTTCTTATTTTTCTTTCACTTAATTTTCTCCTTGGTTCATTTGCAATTTAGCTTCCAGTGTTACTTCCACGTATCGTTGAGAAAGTTAAGGAAAATCCAACAAGTGGTTTTGTGAAGAAGATAAATTTTGACAAATCCTTAGTATTTTTAAGAAAATAATGGTAGCCTGGATACTCACGGGTATTTTCCAACAACTCGTGCATCAGAAAATTGTTGAAAACCAAACAATCTCACTCTATTAGCAATGCCTAAATACTTATGACACACTCTTTACTTTGTTTTGGACACCTTCTTATTTCAAATTCATTCCCTTAATCCCATCATCTCCATCATGTTCATCCCTAAGGAAATTCCAGATTCAAATGCCGACTTGATGGTCATGATTTTAGTGAAAATGTCTTCTGATACCACAACAAACAAAGAACCTCTTTCCATTAAATTTTTTTTCCTTTCTTCTCCTTGAGATTTTTCATATATATTGTTGGATTGTTTGGCAAAGGAGAAAGTTCATAGTCCTCTTCAACAACTTCCCAAACATTAATTGACTCTAGATGTGCCTTCATGGTTGTTGCCCAGATAGAACAATCTTCACCATTAAACATAGGTGGTGCAAGTGTTGTCTATGGTGTTTCAGAATCCACCTATTTCATTAATTGAAGCAATATGTTTAGGCTTTTTGTGGTGGGCACTCAATTCAACTCACAAGGCCACTCTAAATAAGAAAACTCAGATATACCAGTTTACAACTCAACTCACTAAAGGAATTCAAAACTTTTCTGTCTGAGTAATTAAAAAGACAGAAGACAATAATTTTGCCTCTCTAACCTCAACCCAATTGAGACATTTTCGATCCCTCTCACTCAAAAATCTAATCAAGATGCTAAAACTTGGTGAGCTATATCTTGAGAATCTAAATCATGGAGGATAAATCCATCCATTGGTGTTCTAAGAAAATGTATAGTATTAATATCCATTAATTATGAGAAGAACCCAATGGGTATGCTTCTTTACCCTGGATGAAGCACCAGTGGCTATTCTATTTCAGTTCACAAAATTTCATTGATATATTTGGTTTAGGACCACCATGCCTTTAAAAAATAATTCTTGCAAATATGATAAAAAAACAACTCTTGATACACGTAAAGAAAAAATAAAAAACTGGATGGCATTAGTCCATAGAGCCCACTAAAATTTTGAGTAACCTTAATCAAGAAATACCTTTATTTTAAATTGACAGAAAAATAGTTTTAATAATATTAACTAAAAATAACTTATATTAATATTAATTAAATTTATTAATTTATAGCAATCGAAAAATAATCGTAATGATATAGGTAAAAAAAAATCTGATCCAGAAATAAGAATTTACGAAGAGTTTCAATTTTTTTTAATTTTTAAATGAAATTTTAAAATTTTATGATTTTAAATGATTAAATTATTTAACAAATTTACAAAATTTTAATTTATATAAATTTTCTATTCAAAAAATCTATTTTTATTATAAATATATTAAGTTTTCTATAAAAATAAATTTAAAGATTTAACAAAATAAAGAATTTAAAATTCACACGACCACGTCAACAACCAACCATGAAAGTGATTGAAACTATAATAATTGTAATGGTTATTCAATTATGTCTTGATCTTTATCTCTTTATCTTCTCCGTCGTTTTCATTTTCCCTCTTAATTTTTTTCTTCTTCTTAATTATTCCTTTTTTTTCTTGTACTTTTTTTGAAACTAATGAAAAATATTACGATGTTTAAAAACCACCACTT